GACTGAGTCAGAGTCGGGCGACGACTGTATTCAGTGTCCATTCCATGGCTGGAGGTTTGGCGGAGACGGACAGTGCAAACGCATACCTAATCACCAAGGTATTAATTATACAGTACTTATTCATATGTTATGATTATATTTATATTAAATTACATGAGAAAACTAATTAATAATAAAATACTGATTTTAGACTCGGAGTTAAAGGCAATAAAACCAGTGGTAAAGAAATGGCCGACAATAGAGAGGAATGAATTGATATATGTTTGGCACCACTCGGAGGGCTCGGAGCCCGACCACTACCCCGAGGACTTTGTCGCCAAATACGGCCACAAACTATCACTTAAATGCTCGATTACAAGACTTATGGACAGCAACCATGATGTAAACATAAGTTTATTTTATAATAAATATACTGTATATTAATTAACCTTTTCAATCAATACTAGCTCATTGCCCGCTAGTCACTCTTTTGACCACAACAGCTAACTATTAATTATTTAAAATCATAGAAAAATATTTAAAGTTATTAAGCTATTTTTGACTTGACCACAATCATTAGGTAGTCACCGCGAATGCTGTAGACTTAGAGCACGCAAATTACATACACACATTGATCATACCATAAATAACGAGCTTAAAATCCTCGTTTGACACAACGTATGGCTCGGAAAATGAAACGGCCGGTTGGCTTACCATCGGGCTATTGGGCATCGAGTTGACCACTGTATTCATAAAGTTGTGTCACGTGTCACCGGTGCTGATCGCGCTTTTTATTGGCGAAGATGACTCAATGCTGGGACCTTTTTTATCACTGGCGGCCACTGTACCATTGGGCCATGGTCAAACACTCCTGAAAACCTTTGTGTACCGCAAGCCAACTATGTTGAACAAACTATATGCTATAGCCGTCCACTATATGATCAAACTACAGGTATACTTTGCAATTGCGCCGTAAAGTAACATAATCTGTATTTAAGTTATGTTTGTAAAATATTACCATGATTAACATATAAATTAGTTTCATCAGTGGTGGTATAGTAGAAGGGTAGTTTTTAATTTTAAAACAACGTCATATAAATTGATGTTGAGCAATTTTATTTATTTCGAATTAATAGGTTGAGGCCGATATGGTGATTTGGGTGAATTTCCAGAAACAAAGCACCCGATACTTACCCGCAACGACCAATTAATAGCCTGGTATCGGCGCTATCATCAACGGTGTTACACTCAAATAAATTGACTATAAACTTAACATGCTTAAAAACTTGACATGACTTTAAAATGTTTTAATAGATTTACTAAACTTTTAATTCATATAACTTTATATGGGTCATTTAATTAATAAATTTAAACTATAAAATTATGTTTATATTGTTATAATAATTGTATTTAGCAATTAAAATTCAATAAATTCTAAATCGTCAAATTCTAGAATTGGATTTGGGATAAAAAACATGGATTTACAATGCAATCATCACTGGATGACTGTTTGCCTACAGTTTGTCTGAAGTGCACACAATTAAAGCAATTGTTGCTTCGCTTTCAGATGTTAATTTTACAATAATTAAACTAGCAAATTATGTATAATTTTGTTTATTAAACATGAAATAGTATGATTTTTTTTATTACGGTGTAATCACCTAGCCAAAATTGAAAAGCTAATTGCAATATGCTGTATATGGGGACAAAAAAGTGTTCATGATAAATCATTAATTCAAACGGCGCGCTCCCGTAACTCCTGTTCGGTGAGTCGGCCCTTGTGTTCGACCACTTCTATGCCAGCGATCGCTTGGCCAGTGATTGGGTCCACAGCCCTAACATTCAAAATACCATCGTCGTTCAAATCGAAAACCACCTTGATGGTCGCTCTGCCAGCCGGCAATGGTGGCAAACCGGCCACAGTGAATGTGCCTAGCTGCCTGTTAGCACTGGCAACCGGGTCCTCGCCCTCGTACACCACCACATCGATGTCGGTTTGAAACTCTTTGACAGTACGGTATACTTTCGCTTTAGAGCACGGTATAGGCGATTGAGCCACTATGATGGGCGACATAGTGTCACCTTGTCCGCGTACGCCCAACGTAAACGGGGTAACATCACGCACACGTAAATTACCCAGTTGTTGGGCCTGGTTACCATTTAGTATCGCAGCCTGTATACGGTAAAATAAACATAAACATTTTAGTTTAGCACTACCAATTATATGAAATTAATTGCAATAACTATAATTATTACAATTTTGCACCATGCTAACCTGAATGGCGGCTCCCTCGGCCACGGCCAGATCCGGGTGAACAGTGTGGCATGGTTCTTTATCGAAAAACTCGGCCAACATCTCCTGGACATAGGGTATACGCGTGGAACCGCCCACCAAGATCACATCGTCAATGTCCCTGGGCGTTTTGCCCGCCTTACCCATCACATCGTTCACGCACGCCATAGTACGCGCAAACAAGTGTTCGCACATGTCGTTAAATTGGCGCCTGGTGATCTCCACGTTCATGTGCCGGGTGCCGATCAAATTGTTCAGCTTGATGGTCACCGAATTGGCCTTGCTTAATTCCGATTTTTTGCTTTCGCACTAGCGTTTCACGCGCCGCAACGCCACCGACCCCTCGTCGGTCTCCATGTCGACCGGTTCGCCGCCGAACGCAGCCATGCAATGGGCGATCATTAGATTGTCTACGTCGTCACCACCTAGGTGATTGTCGCCGCCCACCGCCAGTACGTTCACTTCGCCGCAGTCTATGGCCAATAGCGACACGTCAAATGTGCCGCCACCGAAATAGTATATGAGCACGGTCCTAATTTTTTGGATGGTTAATTAAATTTTTATAATTTATTTTAATTTTATTAATTTTAATCAATGGTTAGTATTATGATTGATAAAAACTATAATAAAGCACAATTCTATTACTTTCACTAGATGAGTTACATATGAGAGTTTGGCGACCATGGAGAACCTAGCAGCTAATGTATTTCCTATAGACAATGAGAAGTAGTTATAACTCAAAAAGTACTGGACCAATTTTTACAATTTATATATCAAATTGTACAGAATGAAATTTGTATTGAGGCCAATATCAGGATTTTTCCTATAAATGTGAAGAATCAGAGTATACTCATATTAAATAGGTAAAAATATCATATTTTAAAGCCTTGCCATTTAAAAAATACTTATTCAATTTTAAGTATCAGTATATAAAATTAGTTCTAATTAAGAGTATAAAAATATAATTTTTTTGAATTTCAATATTTTAATTTTATGTTTCGTTTTGGCACATAAAATTAGAATTTACGTTCAAAATATTGTTTACAATTAGAATATTTAAAAAATAAGAATTTATATTTTTCTTTTTTCAATTATGACTAATTTTATATACTGATAATAAAAATGAGATTTGTACTTTTTAAATAGCAAGGCTTTAAAATATGATATTTTTACCTATTTAATATGAGTATACTTTGATTCTTCACATTTATAGGAAAAATCCTGATATTAGTCTCAAATCAAATTTCATTCTGTACAATTTGATATATAAATTGTAAAAATTGGTCCAGTACTTTTTGAGTTATAACTACTGCTCATTGTCCATAGGAAATACATTAGCTGCTAGGTTCTCCATGGTCGCCAAACTCTCATATGTATTATAAATTTATTATAACCATGCTCAACTCACTTGGCGCGTACGTTATCAAACCGATTGAGCTGATAGGCGAGTGCGACCGCTGTGGGCTCGTTGATAATCTTCAACACTTTAAGCCCAGCCATAGTGGCCGCCCCTTTCGTCGCGTCCCTCTGGGCGTCATTGAAATACGCGGGAACAGTGATCACGCAATTAGTGATGACTACCCCCTGCCCACCGTCGCCGCCTCCTCCCAGCCCTCTCTCGGCGGTCTCTTTTATCTTTTTCAACACATGTGCCGACACCTCTTCGGGCATAAACCTGTCGGTCTGACCGCCGGGACCCGTCTCCACTTCTACGCCCGGCTCGTCCTGACCCATGTTGACCACCCGAAAAGGCCAGTTGTCGCGGTCGTCGCGCACTTCCCTGGAGCTGAATTTGCGGCCAATCAGACGCTTCACGGAGTATACGGTTTGTCGCGGGGCGGAGAGTGTGTTGTAGCGGGCGGTGTCGCCCACAATTTTCTCGCCGTCCTCTACCCTATACTCCACAACCGATGGTGTGGTCCGGCGGCCGGTGTCCGACTCGAACACCACCACCTGTCGGGTGTCGGGCCGATAGTAGGCTACGCACGAGTTGGTGGTGCCCAAGTCAATGCCGATGGCCGGCAGGGTTGGCGTGTTTTTAGCGTTATCATCGCTTACTGTACAATACGCGGTGTCCAACAGATCGGTGATGAGCTGGGTGAATTTGTTGTCGGTTAAATGACCACGCCGGTCCCGGTGCTCTTTGATCAGGTCAGCCACCAGATTGTCGTGCATTTGTTTGAGCCGATCGGCCCAAACGTAGGCGGTGTTAGCCCGGCGTTTACCCATACGTTCCGTATACAGGCGTAGGACTGTGTCTATGAGCTGATCTACAGATATCCGTTCCACACGTTTTTGCTCCAGAAATACGTGCTCCGACTCGGCGAGAAGTTCGTATAAACGCGCGGTCACATCGCGGGTGTTTAGGGTACTGAGCGCCCGGTGGCGACCCTCCAGATACTCGGCCAACACCCGTTGGCCGACCACTTTGGCCTCGGCTTTGAACTCGTCAAAAGTGTCGGCACCGCCGGCGCCCAACTTAATCAAGCGCTCCAACTCGAGGTCGTATTGGTTGCACAGGTCCTGCAACTGTTGCCGGGCCTCCACTTCGGCCAATTGGCGTCGGGTCTGGTTTTTGTCTCGATAGTCGACGTACCGGCCCCGGCAGTAGTCACGCAGTATGGACTTGTATTGGCCGATTGGCACTAGGTGATTGTTGGTGTGGTATTGATCTAATTGTGATAGCACAAAGGTGACGGTATCAGTGTGTTCTAGCTCTAAATCGTCTAAATGGTACGACTTTGTTTGGTCAACGAATAGTTCTGCCATATTCTATTTTAATATTAAATTATCAATAGACCTAGATTACATCATGAGCGTAAATGTCATATATCATGCAACATAAAGAAAAATGTATAAACTCCTACATACGATTATTATTTGATACATTTTAAATGTTTTTTAGTGTTATAATAAAATATGTTAAACTGTACCCGATCATAATCTAATTTCAAACAATTTACTTCATTGTTGTACAAACCCTTTAACCGCTGTATTCGCCGTTCATTATCGTCGAGCGCCTGTTTGGCGGTTGCGGTCAACGCCGCGGCCATCATATCCCGTAACTCCCGTATCGTTCGATCGTTTACTGACTTTTTCTGGGATTCAAACTTTTGTCGACACTCGTCGGCCAAAGCGTCCGTCTCTGCCATCAAGTCCTGTGCGCTCAACACCTGCTGGTCGTCCGCCATAAGTGCCACTAATTTAGCCTCATATTCGTCCTGAAAAATAAAATTATGAACTATTTTACATAGCATATCTGATGATGAACTGTAATTCATACTTCTAGCCAAAGTGTTCACTGATCAGTGATTACAAAATACAGTACAATAAAAATTACTATTTTACTCTAAATCTAGTCAAACATAGTCAAGGATTCTTAAATTAAATCGCAATTAAACTTACAATTTTAACCTTGTCAATCATATACTAATTCACACAATCATTTTACCTTAATCTGAGTAATTAGATTATGATCAGCAAACTTATACGAGGCGTCCGACATATTGCATGCGCGCACCTGACCGCTGTTAAACATATTGCGACGTCCGGTCGAGCCCTGAGCCTTCCAGTCGCGCGCACACCTCTCGACTCGCACTCTTTCTGCCCGACGGAGCTTTCAGTTTTGATGTACACGTTGTCCCGTCAGCTGGCGATCGTCTGGTTATGCGCACCGCGATGTGGCGTCGGCTCCCGGCATCTGGCTAACTGGTCTCGTTGTCGTCCGTATGCGTGGCGATACGTTTCGAGCGGTAGACGGCCAGGTGTTGTTGGCGACGAAACGATGCCGTCTACTATTTGGTTCTGTAGTTTAATACATGTAGTGAGTGGACACGGCATAACTTCATTACACAATGTCCACAACAACATGTATTAATAATTATAGCACTGTGTAACTCTCCTGACGTTACAATATTCACGTAGATTTTCAGGTACTGTCCAAACGCTCGGCCCGTCAACGGGCGGCCGCCTATGGACTTGGGCTCCAACAGGTCAGGCGCCACAACAGTCTGGCAAAACTCATCCAGTATTTCAATAAATTGCGGGCTAAGCATATCTCGGCGGCCATCAAACCCCAGCCCCTGTGCCGCCGGTCCCCTCTCCGGCATTAGGTAGCAGTCAATGGCATCAAAACTGTTACGTATGTTTTGGCGGGCGCTCCGGGCGCTGGCCGTATGCATGCGCTTCACTTGAAACCTGCTCTCTAGGTATTGCTGACCCCCTTCGCCCCCTTCGCCTCGCGTGGTGTTTGTGAGTCTTTGTCCAGTCCTTTGTCATAACACCTAGATTTTGATAACAAAATTGTTAGAAATGTTTGCGATTCTCATAAAATTGAAAATTCTCTCTCTCTCTCTCTCTCTCTCTCTCTCTCTCACTCACTAACTCACTCGTAATATATTTTAAACAAAGATTTAAAAATAAATATTCTCACTAATCGTTGAAAGTGTTTTTGATGATCGGCGACATCACTAGCCTGCGCGCCGGCGGCACCGGTCGTCCCAATGGCTTCTAAGGCACACTCCAGAAACGAGTTCATAGAAGTGAGTACTTCCCCTCCAAGTCGCTAAACACGTTAAATATGAGTAATGACGACATGAGTAGACTCAGGCCAACGATGGCCGACGAGTCCGATACCGGGAAGTTCTTGTCGTACAGTCCCTGAGTGTCTACTAAAATGATGGCCAACTCTTCGCCCGATTCTTTGGTTACGATCAGTGGCTGTGAAAACCAAATGCCATTTGTCACCAAATCTGAGTCATTATTCCACTCAAAACCTATTCATATAATTGTTTTAAAAATAATATAGAGTTATTCAGATAGATAGATAGATAGAGAGAGAGAGAGAGAGAGAGAGAGAGAGAGAGAGAGATAATGAAAATCATGTAGATACCCGTGAGAGGTGTTGCTGATCGGGCGGCTATCTTATGCTGAAGTTTCTTCATAATATAACGGCCAAGATAATTGAGCATGAATGATTTACCCGTACGCGATTTGCCCACAACATTGATCACAGCGAGGGGTCGATTGCCTAATTGATCACATAGTTTGTTCAATTTTTTCTCTTTTAGTATATATGTGGTGTCGTCATCAGGGTCGGTGACCAATAATTCAACAATTTGCACTGGGTCCATTATTTTAAGAATCTAATGTAGTTATTACAAATAACTAAAATGTAAATTTTAGTAATATAAACTAGTTTGCGATAATGTTTTGATGATTCCTTGTCAGTGCGGTAATTTTAATGTAACCAACTAATTATTATAACTACTATTCATTATTGAGTAAGTGCTTTCCTTTAAAAAGCCGGAATAAGTGAAACATTAAAAAAATCATTTTGATCATTCTCATTTTAAACATTTATTGCTAAAAAATTTGCTTAAAACTCACGGAAATGATAATAATTCAGTTATAAGTTTCAGTTGACGAGCGATTCAATCAAATCAATCGCAGCATCAATTGACCCCGATTTACGCACCCGCATCGCTGCCATCGATAATCTGTTCATCAAATTCTTATCATTCAATAAGACATCGATTGAATCCAATAATTCCCGCTCAGAAACTGTATGCGGATTAAGTCTAATCCCATAACCCTTTTCGTGCACTCTCTGCGCGTTATCGTATTGGTCGCCAAACAACGGCATTACGATCATTGGCTTCCCGGCGGCGAACGTCTCGGTCACCGACCTGTTGTGCTGTGAGTAATGACCAGATCGACGACAGCCAACACATTTAAAGACTTTATTTTATCATTTAGTTTGTCTACAAATTTTTATTAAATAATAATACAATTGCTTATAACATATATGTTAACCAATTCAATACAAATAAAGTTAAAATATTATATGATTAACAATTGATATTAATAACAATAAAAATCTGTCGTTATATAACTTGTATAACTAGACAGAGCCAGCGGTTATCCGGTTTTACGACTTTTATTCTTGCTCTTTGACTTTGCCTCTTTTTCTGTAGGTAAAATAATTTATATTAATAATTTTTGAAATATTATTCATAATTGTTTATGATAGTGATGCAAACATAATATTTGCTATGATTTATATGTTATCCTATTGCATTATTAGTTATAATATTAGCGCTTATATTGATTAATGTAATGTTTATTCTATGCCGTATATTATAATACATATTATATGCAAATTGAATGCCAATTACTGTCACAGATATCTTATTACTAAATATTGCTAATTATTGAATGTATGCATAAATGACTAATTGTAATAGAAAACTAAATGTAACTTTACTAAATGTAAACTCTATGGCAATCGCCATATTCTCCATATTATTCTGTACTCAATATACGTGTTTAGTGTTTATTAATAAATGTGTTAATTGTTTGGCATTTGGTGTCCATTTTTCGGACTAATCGTAAAATTGTGGACATCGCGCACTACCCCTAAACCTACAATTTCTACCCTGGTCATTATTGGAGGGACTGAATTAACAATAAAAATGATAAACTTTAAATAATAGAATCGTGAATAATATTTGTACACTTGAAATGTTGCCAAATTATATTTTTTATAATTACTCAAAATCTTTTGTTAAAAATTTTAAATAGGAAATAAATACCCATACGATTACCATGTTAAAGTATAGCCATCGAATGAAACTATAATCCCATATTAAATTTCATAGAGCGGGAGAAAGTGCCATAAGGGAGAGGGGATCAAACAATCCTATAAACCATTATTATTCAATTTTATACCATAATATTGTACGTTATTTATGTTATTAACGTGGATCCCATAGAAACTCAATAAACATTTTCCCAATAATTACTTTTACCTATAAGATAATATTAGTGCTATGTAAAAGTATAGCCATAGATTTAATTATAGTTTTATGTTAAATCCCATAGGGTTGGGAGCTGTAAGGACAGCCGAAAATATGTTTTAATTACATTATTCAAAGCTAAATTGTGGTTTAAACCGTGATAAAGTTCTAATCATCTGTGCTTTAAGTCATCACACTATAAATAAATAAATATATAATATTCATTATTTAGCTTAACTGATGATAGTGTTATGAAATGGCTCTTTTATATGTTATATATCATAACTGGGGTAGGGGTTTTTATGGAGTGGAAAAGCTCCCGATGTGACCAACGAGTGGAGCACACACTCGAAAGTCGATAAAACGGTGTTTCCGCACGAGGACACTGTCCTGTCTTTTCAAAGTCGAAAATGTCTTCAATCGTCGAAAATGTCTTCAATCGTCGAAAATGTCTACGGGTGTCGGGAACGTCGGCAGATGTCAAGAACGTCAGGCCAATACGCGCACCGTTCGAGGAAACGGCAGCACGCGTGACAGCAGTATCGGACATCAGCTAAGATGGCGGATCCACGTGACAGCAGCGCAAGACGTCAGAGAAGATGGCGGACTATGTGACAGATGTGCGGACGTTAGAGAAAATTGCATGATAACGTGACAATTGTGCGGAACGTCAGAGAAGACAGCGTACCACGTGACAGCTGTGTAAAACGTCTGAGAAGTCAGCGGACCATGTGACAGCTGTTTAGGACATCAGAGAAGACAGCGGACCACGTGACAGCAATACAGACGTCGAGCTTAATGGCGGGACCACGGAATGGCGTAGCAGACGTCACTCAAGACAGCGGATCAAGTGATGGCAACGTACGTCAACAAAAGTGGCAACCCACGAGACCAGAGTACGAAACGTCACTCAGTGTCAGTCAGGACTCCTGACTCAGGAGTAACAAAGTGTGTGTCGGGAATTGCGGGGAGTGTCAAGATGTGTTGCCTCGGAGTGTCACTGGTGTTGCCAAGGGTAGTAACAAAGAGTCGCATAGGATTATGTAAATGTAGTCGCCAAGGGAGTGTGTCATTAAAATCGCTAAGAGATTAACACTGAAATTGGGAATCAATACTCTATGTTTTTTTAATAAAATTGCTTTTATTAACGTTTGTTCTCGATACATTGATTGATTTTACATTGGATTGTGTCCCGTATTTATACCCAAAATTTGTGTCAAACTTTGAAAACACATCCTGTTGAACATCAGATATGGCATCCGTCCGTCACAAATTTATGTCTTAATTAACACTATTGTTGTATTTTTAACCACAATTCAGTATGAATAATATGGTTTATAGGATCGTTTTGCCCCCCTTTCACCCCCTCCCCCTCCCAGCCCTCCCCCTCTCGCCAAGTCTATGGCATAGAAATAACATGGGTAATGCTAAGTCTATGGCATAGGGGTAACATGGGTAATGCTAAGTCTATGGCATAGGGATAACATGGGTAATATTAAGTCTATGGAAGTAATGTTATATCAATGGGATAATGTTATTTCAATGGAGATATACTAAATGAATCTGCTATAATAAATAGAACTACATTTACATTTTAAAACTTTTAAAATTCTTAAAATAACAATTACAAAAGTATTCTAACAATAGTATTGAAATATTTAAAATCTTTGATGCATTTCCCGAATTGTGGTTAACGTATAGCATCGCGTGAATTTTGTTTTTTGTCTATTTTGTATTTTGTCCATTTCGGTATCTTTTTGTATTTCCTTTTTGTTTGGTTTTGTCAGGTTTTTACCTTTTTGTTTTGTCTATTTTGTATTTTGTCTTACATTATTTTTGTTAATTATGTATTTTTGTTCAAGATTTATTTGATTTTGTAAGTGTTTGTAACGGTAATTAAATGTTTGTTTTATTGTCTCAGTTCATGTGTACTTTTAGATATGTTTTGTAAGCGTTTTGTGTGATGTATGTCAACATATTTATATGTGATATGTGTAGAGCAGAGTAGAGTTGGTCTAAGGCCATACACAGGCCGACGGCACACAACACATCTACATTATTAACACAATATTTAATGCCTTCATAATTAAAATACAAAAATGCCATAAAATACAAAACTATAGGCTATGAATAAATATTGAAAGTGAGCTACAAATAATTGGCGCTCTCCACTAAAAGTACATTAGTACCCAGAGTAAGCAATCAGATTAATGTGAAATTTAAAACCAAAATTTAGTGTTTTATTAATAATAAGCAGAAAATTTGGGAAATTAAATTAATTAACTAAATAGCTATCAGTCTTTAACAGAAAGTTTGAATGATTTTGATAAATATGCAGAAAATTTGATCAAAAAATACAGTAAAGGTTTTGAAAGAAATTTTGTATATTTTGATAAAGCATTAAAAATTCTATTATTGTTAATCAGTTTTGAAAGTTTAAGTACCGTATTACGCTGCACATAGGTGCATGCACTTATAAGTAAATTTCACAGATTTTGCTTGTCACCAAAACTACCGCATCTATATCCGGATATAAGTGCATCCCTTGTGTAAAAATCACATATAAGTGCACCAATATTTATTTATCAAAATTATTTACACTGATGAATAATTTGATGAATAAATTATACATTATTAATAATTAAAGCAAATCTACAAATTTTTGAGGTATTTGAATAATGATCATTTGAACTGAATAATCATTTGAAGACATATCCATTTAATCTTAGAGACATTTCATACTAATGTAAAAAACATTTATAAAACTCACAAATGTATAAACAAGGATCACACAGCGATGCTATACGTTAACCACGATTCGGGCATTGCTCAAAGAATAGATTAGCATTATCTACACATTTAATAAGAGTCCATAGGATTAGCACTCCCCATAGACTTAGCATTGTCCATAGACTTAACATTGTCCATAGACTTAGCATTGTCCATAGACTTAACATTGTAAGCACTCCCCATAGACTTAGCATTGTCCATAGACTTAACATTGTCCATAGACTTAGCATTACCCATGTTATCCCTATGCCATAGACTTAGCATTACCCATGTTAAATTATACCCATAGACTTAAGCTGTTACCCCATGTTAATTCCCCATAGATACCCATGGTAAAGTATAGCCACAGATTTAAACTGTAATCCCATGTTATATCCCATAGAGCGGGGGGGCGGAAAGGGAGAGGGCGACACGATCCTATCAACCACATTCTTCATATATGAATCGTGGTTAAAATATACGTATATTTTAAACATTTTAACCAGGAATACTATAAGACATGATTAAATAGACATAGGTTTTGTGCTATCATTGTGTTTGATATCTGAACATTATTACTGACTATAATATAGTCTATAAATGCTAACACAAAATTAGCACTATTTTGACACTTTCTGCCGTTACTGATTTAGACACATTTTAGAGTTAAACGTTTAATTAAAGGTCCTATGATTTTCATTTCAATGTATATGTATATTTCAAATTAAATTATATTTCACTGTAAAAATGTTTAAAAACTACCGCACCTATATCCGGATATAGGTGCACCCATTGTGTAAAAACTCACATATAAGTGCAGCACCTATATGCGGCGTAATACGGTAATAATCAAAAAGAAATTCTGACTCAAAAAATTAATAGTTATTTTAAGGCAATAATTGTAAAATCAAATATTCCTGGAAATCATATATATTATATATCAAAATTTTTATGTAAAAATTCAATCAATTTTTATGCATTAATAAAACTTATATTATTAAGTAAAAAGTGTTATTTTGATTCAAGTGTTCACCGTATAAAAAACTTGGTTATTGGTAAGGCTTACTTGGTATATACCCAGTCAACAAAATCTGTCGCCGCGGTTTTTGTGATTACAGCTAAACTAGAAGAGCTAGATCAAATCTGTAAAAAGTAAAATGAAGGTCCACATGTCTAGTTTTTTTGTATCAAAAAATTATTCAAATCACGTGACCACAACACAAAAATTTTTGGGTCAAATCGATTTGCCATGTTTTTTGCCCACCTCGAGGAAGGCTAGGAAGGGGGCGGGTATGTTAATCTTTAGAGGAGATGTCAAAGACTATGATAGCAAAGTTTGATTGAAATTCTTCTAGCCATCTACGAGAAATTGTTAATTTTATTAACATTACGTCTATGGGGAAAAATGGTTCTGAAGTTAACTTTTTATAACAACAAAAATGTAGTATAAAAAGGTCAAAATTGGGCTATTTTTGTCCAAATATTGGGTCAAATTTCTCGAATATTTTGTTCCCTACGAAAGACTATTCACTTGATTTTTATGAAACTTTGCTA